GCTCTCAGCCAGTATGTACATTACACAGTTGGTTTTGGAGGTTAAGGTCCTCCTGCGTGTGGAGTTTATTAAATGACGAGGGAAGCAGTGTTGACGTGCAAGCTCAATGGGAACGAACAGAGGTTAGTTCCACACTGCTGAACACCTTCATAGCTGAACTTCGTTGGTTTTCCTTCTTTTCACTCTGCAGTGTGGACTTAACTTCTACTTGTTCCCCTACATAGACACTCCCGAATAATAGCAACAGAGTTTTGCAATTTCATAAGGTCCTATGTGTGTGACTGGACGTACGTTATTTATTTTAAACACTATGAACACCCGATCACAAAAAAACAACATTAGAAGTGACTCCGGCTGTTTATTTGCCTTTTCTGTTTCTGATTGAATTTTCTTTCTTTTCTATTCTTCTGAATTTAGGAAGTAAAGGTTTCTTTGGTATCAGCTTTCAGCTTATTATATCTGCTCTTTCATCAGTGTGCAGCACTGCACCTGCTCTTAAGTGTCTGTCTACTTGCACAAAAAAGAAAATCAAGAATTCTTGCATAAATTGCGCTGTAACTATGTTAATATCTCATATTGACATCAATATTTACAAAATCTCTTAAATATGTTCAATTGAAAAGAAACCACAGAAACTCTCACCAGGGGCTCCCCCTTATTCCTACCAGTTTAAGACTCAGCTACAGCCTAAGACTGGACAAGGCATCTCAAGAATAAGTGAATTTGAAAAGACTGCCATAATCATTTTGTAGTGCTTTTACAGTTTCAGGTAATCTTGTTAGTAATTTGGACCATAACCTCCGAGCAGGAAGAAGTTTATTCTGTTTCTGCCCGTTTCTGTGATCTCCAGTCATGTCCTGCTACAGAGACCCCTGAGAAAAAAAGGATCCCACCAGGAGGAGAACAGGCAGCAGCAGTGTTCTGAAAGTGCAGCTTCCAGCCCCCAGCAGCAGGGGGCAGTGTGTGATCATCCGACACCCAGACCAGGTCTCTCCTAGTCTTCCGTGATGGTGATGACATCATACTGGATCCCCTGCTGCTGCATCTGCTCCAGCTGCTCGGGCGTGGCCTCCGTGGCATAGACGGTCTGGGCCTGCGCCATCGCCGCGTCTGCAACAGCTGGGGAGCCCAGAGCAAACAAAGCCACCTTTCAACCACCTGCACCACTTCAAGCACACCACATCAGAATCTCTTGGCTGGAGCTTAATGCAAAAATATGATCTTGAAATCGCCCGCCCGATGATGCAAGCAGGCTTATAAGTGAGGGATATGGAGAACTGGAGGAGGGGAGATGCCGGCGTGGGACCACCCACCTGTCACAGCAGAATGGGCCGCAGCTTCCAGGTCCTCCTGAGTCACGATCTGCTGCTCCGAGCTGATGGGAACGTACTGTATCTGCCCATCGTGGGTCACCGCAATCTGAACAGCAGGCAAAGCAAGCCATTTGTCAGTACTTTAGGAAAGCAGGTCTAGTGCTACTGCTCAGCAGGACCTGCGGAACTTCCCCCCTTTCAAGAATTTGTCTTGGCATATGAAAGGCCTTGTACACAGTGCAGTTCAATGAACTTGAGATGTCTCTCTGCTTAGAGTTTCGTCTGAACACCTCCTTCAGAAATGAACGACCAGCTCCCTAGGTGTGCACCACATGCCAAAGGAATGCCTTCTTCAAATTAAGGAGAACAGTGGCGGTGATGGGTTGGAAGTTCTTTAGTTCAAACCCTGAATGTGTTTCTGTTGCAGTTTACTGGGCCAGGCTTACCTGCTGCTCCTGCAGGAAAGCTCCATCCTGATCGTACTGGATGTGTGCTATCTGCCCATCTTGCATCTGCAAATAAAACACACACCTCAGTGTCAGCAGAGAACGGCCTTCACTACTGGGTGTTAATTAAGGAGAAATATGACCAATTTGACTGTCTTTTGATTTCATACTGTACAACGATCAGGTTTGCAGAACACGTCCGAAATCTACAAAGCTATGTTGTGGAAGCCGTCACCCTGGCTTCGTTCAACAACCAGCTGAATGAGACCTCCTTATCAATTAGCTACTAGCAATCAAATGAGTCAAACAAGCCCAATGGCCTTCTCTCACTGGCAGCCTTTTTGTTCCAAGCTCCTACCCTTTTTTTGGGAGGAGGAGCTCTGCTGTGGAAGTTAAACAGGTTTAAAAACACACCGACTGTGTGTGTGTGTGCGCGCACATCAGCCCTCCTGTTCTGGGAGGGTCTGCATTCCTGCAGGTGTCTAGAAAGTGTACCTGGATGTGGTTGCCCTCAGATACCACCACATACTCCTGAGGAATGAGATGTTGGACCCCATCCTGTGAGATGATGTACTGGACCTGCACGGCAATGAGAAAGAGCAATGTCACAGAATGCCCTCCGGGAGACAATAGCCACCAAATGGACCGATGGCCAATCCATCTTCATCTACGTGCTGTCATGAACACCACGCGTGCGCCGTCAATGCACTGAGGTTTGTGCTCGAATGTCAAATTCACACCTCTACACAGGCAGCACATCTAGCCCTGAAACAACCCCTCCTCTTAAACACAGCACCATCCTGCATCAAGAAATCCAGACTGCTAACAAATCAGTTTCTCAGGGAGTTTTCAGTCCAAAACGGATACCTGGCTCCTTTCCGGAGCGTGCCGACGGACACCATTCTCAGCACAGTCAAGCCCCTTACCTCAGTCACCTGGTTTTCCGCAGCCACCAGGTGCTGAACCGTCTGTCCGTCCACCGTGGTGATCTGCTGGATATACGTAGTCTCCCCCTGCAAAGAAAAATCTTTCCTAGGATCTTTCCCAATACTCCCAACAGACTGGGAAGACAAAGATCAAATGCGATCTGAGGGCTTGTCGTAATTCCAGGCCATTCTATCTGGTATCTGTGCATTAGACTGGCCACGCTTTAAGAACAGGAGATTGGGTTTATTAAGGAACGAGAAATTATGAAGAATGAATGGCATTCAGCAGGATGGATGAGGTAATGAACGTGCAAGGTGTTGACATTATACAGCTCTGCTGGCATATCAGAAGAAGCACTAGACTCGGCAGCCAGACCTGGCTGATGTACTGCTTGTCTCTTGACCGGCTGGCAGGCCAGCCACGGGGGAGACGTGGTCCACACGCACTGCCGGAGCCCCCCCATGTGCTCTACCTGGTCAGACAGGGGCTGCTCCTGCGCCACGATGATGTGCTCCTGCCCCAGCGCCTGCTGCAGCCTCTCGGGGGAGATCACCGCCTGGCCAGCCTGCAGAGCTGCCGCGCGGAGCGCAGAGGGAGAGAGAAGCAGAGGGAAACTTGTCAGGCGCGACAAGCGCATCGGCCACGCCTGATGTGTTCTCGGCGTTAGCCCGCGAACCGGATATCTCTCGACACGAACTTGTGTGCTTCGCCCTGGCCAGTCGTGGCTGCATGCACTTCTCGTGTGATCCAACCTAAAACTTTTTAGATCTGTCATAATCCAACATGCATGGTCCCTAACTCAATCTCAGTAAGAAGATGCAAAGTGCACCAGGAGACAGATATGAAGCCACCAGATATTTTTTTTTAATTAGAAGCACGCTGGGGACTTGTCACAGGTCAAGGCGATCACGGCAACGACACCCGAACGGGTTCGTGGAAACGGGCTTACTCTGGAGTGTGGCCAGGGCCTCCTCTTCACCGTTGATGATGATGGCCTTGTGGGAGGCGGCCCCGAGCCGCGTCTTGCGCGGAGAGGGATCAAGGCTGTGCAGCCTCTCCATGTGGAACTTGAGGTGTCCGTTACGGTTAAACCTGGGGAGGAACAAGAGTATGGCGGCCACGTCACATTGGTACGATTTGGACATTTCCTTGACATGAACACACGCAGTGAGAGAAAATGAAGGTTTATACCAGTTGCTGAAGGCAGGGGAGTGGAAGGTTATATCAAAATGTTTGTTTTTTTACTGTTTACTGTGTATGGCAAGCCAGGTACGGAGCGCAGGAGTGTAAGAGCAGCTGAGAGAGAGACAGGGAGGTCACCTCTGTCCGCAGACGTCGCAGGCGAAGGGTTTCTCGTTGGTGTGGGTCATCATGTGCCGGCGCAGGTCCTTCTTGTTCTTGGAGGCGAAGCTGCAGTGGTAACACTTGTGGGGCCGGAGGTCAGCGTGCTGCATCATGTGATCCTGAAGACAGTGTCCGAGGGGGGGGGGCGACATGCAAAATCACAGACTTCAGTCAGTCATGTTTTCCCCAATGAACAAGGAGGAATGGGGCTAAAAGAGGCAGTGTTTAGGGTGGAACAGGCAGTATGCTGGCAGCACGTAACAAAGATCTAAAAAAAACATTGATTAAACACATATGCATTAAGGTTGTGTCGAATCCAACTGTTCCAAATAATCTTTCTATTGGACCTTTTCTGAAATAACAGACGACTACTCAAAGCTGTGAAACTTTTAATTCTCGCGATCAGTCTTTGCCAAGAGTTAGCAGTCCCCAGAGTGCTTCTAATTAAAAAAATAACTTGTGGCTTTATATCTGACTCCCGGTGCACTTTCCATCTTATTGACCTTCAAGTTAGAGATCATGTATGTTGGATTATGACGGATCTAAAAAGTTTTAGGTTGAAGGACAGGAGAAGTGCATTCAGCAATGATAGTCCAAGAAAAAGCCTGCCGTTCCCTTTAAATAGAAAGCATCCCACAGACTGCACACAGCAGAAGATAAGTTCATAGTTTGCTGCGTGAAGTGTTACTGCGTACAATAGAAAGGTGAAGAGTCACAGAAGGTTTTAAAGGAGAAATCACTCAGACAACTAGATGTTGCAAAGCACAGAATATCCAGTTTAAGTGGGCGATGCAATATTCCATATTTTGATCTTGCAAAGCGGTCGTGCAAATATAAAAACCAACAGCCACAAGCTGACATGCGCAACAGGAAAGAACACGGTGAGCTGAGAGGCCAAGCTTGCCTGGCAGAGAACAGCGAGACTGACCCTGACGTCCGGCCAGGAGGACGCGGTGAAGGTGCAGTCGGGACACTTGAAAACGTGGGGGCCGATGTGCGCCCTCTTGTGGCTCTCCATGTCAGCGCGGCCGAGGAAGGAGGCCTTGCAGATCTTGCAGGAGAATTTCTTGGAGCTGAGCTGCTGCTGGGGGGAGGACCCTGGAGGTGGGGAACTGGTGGTCTTGCTGCTCAGCTGGGGAGCAGAGCAAAGACAGCAGCTGTTTCAAGGTTCAGCCATGGACACACGGAACTCACCCCCTCATCCTCCGATCGCCTTCCCCAGCATTTAGTTAAGATCTATAAGATAACTTTATTGGCCATATACAATTTCTAGCATTAGGTTTTTGTCTTTTGCGCATACCCCAGCTTGCTCTCCATGAGACAAACAGGCACACAGACACGGAGAGAAGCTTAGGGTCAGAGCACAGGGTCAGCCATTGTACAGCGCCCCTGGGGCAGTTGGGGTTAAGGGCCTTGCTCAGGGGCCCAAGGGAGTAGGATTCCTCTGCCAGCTGCGGGATACGAACCGACAACCTTCCAGCCACAGGCGCAGATCCTGAGCCACAGAGCCACCACACCGCCCTTTAAATAAGTTTCATTAAGGGGTACCGACTACATTAAGCATTTGTTCATATCCAAAAACATGACCACAAGCAATAAAAGGGTCAGTGAAAGCTGAGTTTTTGTTTTCAATATCTGCAGCATTACTGAGATGCCATTCCATCAGAGCACTCACTGGCAAGAGGATGCATCCCAAGTCCACACAACAGTGGAAGTGCCGAAAGTGGGAAAAGCACTTCAGCGTTCCCTGCGGCTGTGCCCCCGGCAGGTGACCTGCCCCCGGCCTTACCTCCACCTGCTGCAGCGTGCCCGCGCTCAGCCCCGAGGCCAGGTAGTATTTGCCCCCGTGCTCCTTCAGGGTCCCGGAAAGAGAGCTGCTGCTCACCACCACAGGGCGCGCCCTCTCCGGGCTGCCATCTGCACTGCTGCGGAGACACACACATTCGGGGGGGGGGAGGTGAGGCCTGGCGTCTGAGTGGGGCGACCAGCAGAAACCCTCCCCTCCAATCAGGTGAGGCCCGGATGTAATGGGCAGCCAGGCTGCGGTCCATACCTGTAGACCGTAGAGGTGCTGTGGATCTCCTCGGCAGTCTGCTCCACCACACTGAAGTCCCCGGCGCCCGGGTAGGCGCTGATGGCGATCTGGGCGATCCCTGTGCCCGCCTCTGTGGGCCCGGGTGCGAAGGCCTCCTGCACTAGGGTTTCTCCATGCTCGCTCACATGGAACGTGACCACCTTCTGCGGCTGGGCGGGGGGCTGCTGGGCAGAGCCCACCTCCTCCCCCTCCAGTCCTCCTGCCTCATCTGATTTCAGCACAGCCACCTGTGTGGGGAGACAGCAGGTAGAGGTAAACCAACGTCTCCGTGCTGTACCCGACGGTTTTGATTGCTGCACATCTTTTTGCTTTTCCTGAATGTTGTGAATCTTCATTCGTAATGCTTTTATTTGGCGTATAATCGACGTCCTAGGGTCCAGGCAGGATCCTGCTGCAAAACTGAGTCGAGGGGTCATTTCTGGAAAGGAGACCGGGAATGTATGCCCAAGCCCAGGGTGTAGAGACTGAACTGAGCATCCCCTGTCCCTGGAAAGGCTAGAAGAGCTGTTGTTAAGTTTTGAACATGTTAAATATTTAGATTCAAAGCCTACATCACTTAAACCGAGCAAGTCAAACAGCATACTGTTTACAGGAATTCTTGTCTACGAGCTGTCAAAACAGCAAGCTCAGAATTTAAGCTCATCTTTAGTTGAGCGGCAATCACCAATGATGGCCCAGAATATGCTCTATATGCTCTTTGCTCTAGGTTACCATCACCTGCAGCAGGTGCAGAACGAACAAGGTGAAGCGAGTGTTTAAGAGGCGATTTAATGCTCCCAGCCCCTGGCAGGGCCCGTCTGAAGCTGTGGCAAGGGGTCGCTTTGGGGTCGAGTGTGACGGTACCGTACCTGCAGGGAGTTGCCCGCCAGCTCTCGGGGGTTGCTCATGTTCAGAAGCAGGTCCAGCGCGTTCTGGGCGGACAGGTCAGTGGTCCCTGCTGCAGGGAACATTCAACAGGGAGCTGAACACTGATACGTCGCACCGCCGCATAAGGTCCAAACTTTCATACCTTTGCACCCTTTTTAACAGCGATCGGAACTGGATGAAGCAGTTAAGAGAACGAATGGAGAGGTTGACTTCCATACTCTCTTACTCCAGGAGAGAAAAAGAAAAGCTTTCCTCTGCCTGGTCTCCTAGGTGACTTATTTTGTCTGCTGGAGGAAAGTCGCCGGCTCACCTTGCTCATAGATAATAGTGGCATTTTCCAGGGAGTCTTGAGAGACCCCCGAGTTCCCCACTGGCTGCATCGCTTGAAAGGCGACCTGCTCCATCGAGACCTTCCAACAGCCGCGTCAAAAAAGAGAGAGAGATAGAATGAGTTGGACTGACCCGGCCACTCCTCATGTTTGTAAACTTTCTGACGTTCTTATCAGGCCCCTGTGAAACCAAAGGCTAAGCTGCTCTTTTCTCTCATCACCATGTT